CAGGCAGTTCTGGGATTGTGTGTGATTCTGTGCTGGGATGCCTCTGTGCCCATGCTCCTCCTGGCCATCAACCCTTGCTGAGCTCAGGTCATCCCTCTCTCCTCAGGTGCCATCCACCTCGAGTTTCACTCCAGTGGGAATCACTATGTCTGGAGGAAAGTCACCTCCACCGTTCACAACATCATCGTGGGCAAGCTCTGGATTGACCAGGTCGGTGGCTGCGGGTTCAAGGTGATGGGTCCTGCCTGGCTCCAGGGAAGGGTAGGGTGGGGTGGCTGGAAGGGCATTGCCCTCCTGGGGTCTTGGGGTCTATGCCAGCGCTGCCTGGTGTTCTCACCGTACCCCTACCATGACAGGAAGGTGTCTGTCCCTGGCAGGGATGGGAGGAGGCCTCTTAGTGCTCCTCATGGCTCTTGCCAAGGGCAGCAGCTCCATGGGGCAGGGTGGTCACGCGTGGGATGGGTTTTACCCGGCTGTGGGCGAGCCGTGGGGCTGGTGGGGGCGGCTGCAGCTGGTGTGGATTTGTATCTGCACGAACTATGACTAACAGCTGATTTGTCTCCTTGCAAAGTCTCTCACTCGCTGTGGTTCTGTGTCTTTCTAGTCTGGTGAGATAGAGATTGTTAACCATAAGTCAAAAGATAAATGCCAGCTGAAATTTACCCCCTACAGCTACTTCTCCAGAGACGTCCCCCGAAAGGTGCGTATCCAGCTGTCTCCTTGCTCCTTCTGGCAGCCTTGAGCAGGGTGAGACCTGGCTCTTATCTCTAAGCTGGGCTCATGGGGTCCCAGGGATGAGTCCCAGCATGGGACCAAGGAGCTGTGCTGGCACCTCTGATGTGGGTCACCAGGGAGCACTAGGGGGGACACCAGCCATGTCCAAGCAGAGCCCATGTTTCAGTTCTCCATATGTTGGAGCTGCAGCACTGAGACCTGGAAAGGTTTTGATGGGCTGGAGATCCACCTGCATGGTCAGGATGAGCCACGTTCCACCTGGGACCAGGTCCAACTGCTCTAGTTGGGACACCTGGAGGGTGTTCTGCCCCCCCTTCCACCTCTCCCTGTCCTCTGGGCATTTCCAAACACCTCCAGAGCCATCTCCTTCTGCCAGGTGACAGGGGTGGTGAGTGACGCTGATGGTAAAGCCCACTACGTCATGTCTGGCACGTGGGATGAGAAGATGGAGTGCTCCAAGATAGTGCAGAGCAGCCACGGCAGCACCAGCACGGAGGGCAAACAGAAAACCGTCTACCAGACACTGTCTCCAAAGGTCCTGTGGAGGAAGTACCCCCTCCCGTGAGTCCCCTCCTCGGCGCGGGGTGCTGTGCTCGGGGGTGTGACATCCGGGTGGGGATTAATGGTGTCACCCTGAGGGGGCTTGTGTGCCCAGACCTGAGGAGATGGGAAGGGGACCAGGACTTGGGTGGCTGTGGGAGGGGAGAGCAGGTGCCTCTGCAAGGGAAGGGTGGCTTTGGGGGACACTTGAAGGTAGATTTTGGGCAGCTGGGGGTGCTGGTTAGGTTTTTCAATCTGCTGACCACGGTAGGGAGATGTGTTGGCAGCTTTGCCTTGCTGATGAGTCCTTGGTCATCCTGTCCCACTAAATGCTTTAGCCCTCTGGAGACCAGACCTCTCTCAACACTTGAGGGGCTGCTCTCAAACCAGTCTCCAACCTTTGGTAGCACCAACTACCAGTCTCCAACCTTTGGTAGCACCAACAGCCAGTCCCTGCTTTGGAGATGCTCTGCTGGAGTGGTCTCCTATGGAAAGTGTCCTCCGCTTGGTGCAACTGAGTTGGGCAGTTGGGCATCCAACAGCTCTTGGGTGAAGGTCTTTCATGTCTCAGCTTGGAGCCCTTGGAGTTTGTAGGTTTGGCTTTAGCTTCCCTGTGCAGAGCCAACAGAGGAGGGGTCTCTGTTCTGAGTCACCCATTGAGGCATCATTGGCATCTCCACTTAGAAGGTTCCTAAAGAACCTCTGCACGTCAGGTTTGGGGTAGCAGGAGCAGCATCAGTGGAGCTGGGGTGAGACACAAGGACACGAAGGGCTGGGGAGCTCTGCTCAAGGTTGGCACCACCTCCACCATCCTGATCAGGGCTCTCCGGCCGCAGGGAGAACGCTGAGAACATGTATTTCTTCTCTGACCTGGCCCTCACCCTGAACGAGCCCGAGGAGCGAGTGGCTCCCACCGACAGCCGGCTG